TAAGTTCCTCCACCCTAACCACAACCTTTTTGATTCTGCTTCCCCAGCTGTGGTTTGATATAAAAGGTGATGCAACTCAAAATGAAGTTGTCTTTCTGGTTTTTAATATCTTTAACAGTTTGTAGGGGAAGGAGCAGCAGTTTTACTTCAACACCCATTTTGGTCTCAGGCCAGAAACCAACCTTAAGTCTGACAAACACACTTAACTGAATATTAGTTCTGCATGTTACATTAGTTACTTGGTAAGTAATTAAATACACAATGTGATAGGCTGTCAGGAGTGAGTGCAAGGCACCTGGTGAAGGACCCAAAAACATATAGTTCAGGCAGACGAGTTTTTATTGACAAAATTGAAAATATATCGATTTACTGGCATGGGTTGCAAGTCTAAGCCAAATTAACTGAAGGTACGTTGGAAACAGGAACTGAGACACTGAAACTGAGCTGACAGCAGAAAGAAAGGCTTACACAGCGCCAACACCCACATGTGTAAACATTTTTTTAAATGTCAAACACGTTACAAACAGCTACTCCTTTTGACATTATAGTGTAGAGCTCTACTGTAGTGTAGGACTGTGAAGACAACACTATAGTTAAAGCCCAATGGGACTGGTGGCCTTCAATGTTTGTCTAGAGAGTGTAACGTAGATGTGGGATAATCAGCTGTATTGACAAATATTTTTATAATAGTCAGCACATCCTGAGGGTGATTTTATCATCCAGTAAGAAGGTTCAGCTAAACAATCATTATATTTATTGTTCTGGAAAATTAGAAATTTAAAGGAGCTATATGTAAGAAATCTAAAGCAAATATGTCACAGAGACTAAGGAATAATGTTCATATAACATACTGATCTCACCGACAATAATAGTACAGCCAGAATATTTGCATCTAAAAAAATTTTTTGCAGTCCGCAAATCATGTTTATGTTTTGAATTTGTGTTTTGGCCTGTTGTGCCACCCACCACCGTCTGCCAGCTACGCAGTCAGTAGAGTCTTAGCATCAGTTACAGTTACGACTGAGCTACAGCAGCACAGGAAGCAGCATTAGCAGTGTCCCAGTACATAGCATTAGCAGCCAGCTCCTCCTCAGCTGTATCCCAGCAGCAGCGTTAGCAGCACAGAAGCCGGACTTGCTCAAACGGTCCGCTGGAAAACCGAAGATCAGGGACGCGGCAACACGGCCCTGCCACAGCAGCCGCCCGTGGGCAAACAAATCAGTCTCCAGCGTGCCGCTGTCCAGCAACCTCGAATCTGTAGGGGAGGGGGGGCAGACATGACTCGCGGCAGTATTTTGAAATTGAGTGCAGTAACCGTTTTGGCCATTCTTACATACAGCGCCTTTAATATCCGAAAGTCAAACTTGATGTTCCCGTGTTCTCAAACAACTATTGACTACTGATAGATTTCCTAATGTTAAGACATCTGCATTTTAAAAATAACTAAATAAAGGAATATTTTGTCAAGCAGCTGGTCAGTCTCTGGGCCATAAGGTTTTTGATGCAACTGGAATGTAATAAAAACACACTTTATTTTTTACAAAACTATTTGAAATAGTGTCATAAGAAACATATGACTGGTAAAATTGTAAAAAACACACTGAAATACCTGTACTGCAACTGGCATTAGTTGTTATTGGTTCTGAACACAGACTCACAAGAAAGACTTAGAGACAGAACAGTTAAAAGCCACCAGTCTTTACTTGTAAAGAGTTCATGGCAGGTTCACATTTAAATTGCTACTTTATAGGTTCCACAGAATATTAGTGTTGTTAACACAACTTGCCCAAAACTTCAATTTTGTTTGCTAGTACCCTGTAGATGCCTAGTATATACAAAAAAGTAGAATTTATTTTGTCTTTATTCTGAAATACCCAGTTGTTTCTCCCCATAGTCTTCTTCTCTTTCACTGCACCTTCATCTAAGTACCAGTAGGAACTTGTTTGTTTCTTTGTTTTTCATTTGTACCCAATTCGTGCATTTACGTGTCAAGTGCTAATTGTCAGGAACATGTTCTTGATGCACAAGCCCCTGAGGGCCTGGAGTGTGCCCATGATTTGAGAATGTGCTGTTCTGGTTCCAATCTGACTACACTGCTTGCTACCTGGTACTGCTGGGTGTTTTGATATATTTAGTATCAATCTGATGTTTCCTGCCATCACCTGCACCAAGTTATAAGGACTGAAAGCGCTGGGCATGGAGCATGTGCTTTTGAATTAGATTTCATGTTAGGTTATTATTTTTCTTACACACTATTGGTTTATGTCACTGCGTCTCCCAACAGAAAAGCTCGGTTGAATTTCAGCCTGCATGCATGTCTTCTCAGCCGAGCACTGTTGATACAGAGCATCTATCGATCTATCTATCTATCTATCTATCTCTCTCTCTCTCTCTCTCTCTATATCT